CCAAAAACAAAGAGTATTTGTCCATTTTCTCTTTGAAAATGTAGCCAGTGTCTATCTAATGGTACCAGGGGCACTTCAGCAGCCTTCTATTATTATAAAGTAGACCACATAACACCACTGCAACACACAGCTCTGAGGGCCTGGTTTGCAGTAGGTGATTTGAGAGCATTTTATACCCACTCACTTCACACGGGCCTGAATGGCTGCCCAGGGTGCCTGAAATTACAGGCTCAAATCTCAGGAATGTGTCTTTTCATCTCATGTAAAAAGCCTTAAACCATAATATTAGTTCTGAGGCCGAGATCTGCTTACAGATCAGTGACATCACATCACTCCTTCTCTTTCCTTCATGCTGATTTAACCTGTTTAGACTTTCATAGAAGTCCTTGATGTAGGAGCTAAATGTCCTTGAAAACACTGGGTTCTTGGCAAGTAGGCAAATTCCCAGTATGAGGCAAAGAAGGCCAATTTTGCTTTCATTACACTGTTGCTATTCCCACCAACTTTCCCAATTTTTGTGAAAGTAGTACACACACGTTGGAGAAGGGTTCAATGTACTGCACGACCTGGATTCTATTTCTAGCATTACCATGAGTGTCTTTTTGCTTCTCTTCACCCGTCACTTCAAGCAAATAAAACCCAGTTTTGTCTCCTGAGGGAAGGTACTCTTCCTTTTTTTTTGTTTTTAATAAAGCAGGAAAATAATAATTTGGCATCTAACATACAAAGTTGTTCCACGAGGGAAATTGTTACTAGAAGTTTCCAGTGTGTTGCTGGTTCTTAAATCTAAATCATTGGTTTCAACAAGGAGGTCTTAGTGTCTAAAATACAATTTTCAACAAACAGGTTAGATTTCTTTTTAAATTAACAGTGTTAATGTACCTGTCAGAGAAGTTCTGGTAAGGGATAACGCCAGGACATAATTCCCTAAATGATCTTTTTCACCATCACTTTTCCCAATCTTACTTCAGTGCATATCTACACATTTAGGTGCCTCACAGACCTGCAAGGTCTTATTGCTATGGCAGTTTAGTCTAAGAATCTGAATATATTACCTGATATTTTATTATAATGAATGCTAGCTGTGCTATGTTTTTATATTTCAGATCTTTACCTCATTCATTCAGCTTAAAGAAGCTGAAAAAGAATGGGAGAAAGAAATACAGAACTCATGTTTCTGACAATATTTCAAGGAAATGTATTGCTATGGGTTCTTAGGAGACACTTTGTTTCAATTTAGAAAAGCCATTGCTTGATCATTCCCTTCCAGTTGAAGAACACTGCCAAGGGAAATTTTGAAATCTGAATTGTATACATCTCATAATTTTGAGGACACAAAAATTCTGCCAGAGAGGAATTGGTCCATATAAACAAAACCCCTGATCCACTCCAATTCCACCCTGCCTTGATCAAGTCAGTCTGGTGAAAAGAATGAGGGATTGTATTTTGACTACAATTCCAAATCAAACACGAAATAGTTGTGGCATTAAATCCATGTTCTAAAACAAAATGATGAATAATCTAGTACCTTTAGTAATAAAATACCACACCTACCTGTTATATTTCCCTGTTAGCTGTAACTCTTTGAGGCTTTTCTGCTCCTGCTCTGTCCTCAGGGTAGTATTCCTTCCATTATTTCACTCCTGTCTAAGCAACTTCCAGGAAGCATTTTTCTAGATTAAAATGATATCACTTCCAAACCCTGTAAATCCAAGTCAGCATTCACAAAATGTACTGGATTGGCAGCCTTTGACTGTAAAGTCTTTACCCAGCTGAATCTACAGCCAGCACAAGCTTGCCTTCATTGTTCTGCCTGGCATTTCAAATTTATTCATCTTTTCTCCCTCACTTTCTTCAACTTGGCTACGTTGACATTTATTTTATACTGTGATAACATGAAATATTTTTAAGAGTAAGTATTTAGAACATTGGCATCAATGAAATTATAAACGTTTTCCAAAAAAATGAGCCATGAACAGAAATCGGTTTTCTGGGACATTCAGACCTGACCAGGATTTTTATAGGTACAATTTCAGAACTCTTAGATTTCTCACTTTTTCTGCTGTTTCAAAAGTGCAGCTTCATGCATTTTATTTGTCTGACTCTGTCACTTCAAAGTCTCAACCATACCACCAAGGCACAGGGATGATTATTAAAGTCTTACTGTCAGGTAGGGCAGTGATAGCTGAAGTTGAATCATATGAGGATTCTCACATCCCTGTTCCAATGGTAGCAGCCTGACACTTCAAACTGTGGTAAATTTTCTATAAACCATTTCACTGTGACCAAGATAATCATCCTACACATTCTAGTTAGAAATATGAATTATTTCTAACACTATAACCATACAAAGTACATTTGAGATTTGCAATGGATTCTTTTGTTGCCATGCTGGCTGGTTTTAGTTTGGATGTCATGGAAAGAAACAAAGGGGAATATTAGACTTAATCTAAACACATATTAAGAACCATGTATTTCAGCTTGGTGGCTCTGTAACAGTATGGAGAGAAAGAAAAAAGGATTTGGTAAATTCTTTTTACATTCCCCTTGTCCTTCAGTACTAAGATTACTCGGGAAATTATCATCTTACCCTTTGAAATGGAGAGATGGATCATGAAGGCTTCTGCAAGGATGACTTCAAATCATCCCTCCAAGGATGAATTCCAAGGTATTATCAGTGACCTGGATAACAAAATAATGGACATTACCTTTCATTATAGGAACAGCAAACCAATCTCTATTATACAATACTCAAATTATGAAGAAACACAGCCCACAGAACACAATTCAAATTAGTGATGGGAGGTGCAATGGAGAAAGCAAGAATAAGACTTTCTTAAAACTAAGAACTCATATTAAAACCATTTTCTATTTCTGAAAAAACCAAACTGAACAAACTTTGATATGTTGAGCCTTGCTCTGAGCATACATTTGTGAGGCAAGAGCATTTCTCATTGACTTTCAGCTGTACTTTTATGTTTTGTTCTCAAGGGAAATACTCAAGGCAATTGAAACTCCATTGCTGTAGCCCCCTGTAATAAAAGGGGACTTTTTTTAGATAAAAGGAACACATTATGGGCAGTACCATTTTTGGAGTCAAAGGATCCCTGCAAGAATACAAGGTTTGAGGCAGGCAGATTGCTGCATGGCTGTGCTCTAAAATGTGTAACACTGATACAGATGTGTAATTGGCTTAGACACCTAGACTGTCTTAAATCAATAACCCTAAGCACTTCAGAGTAGCTGAAGTTAGTACAATAGCTGCAGTATATACACAATATACAGTAGCTACACAATATATTAGTTTCTTAGAGAGCAAAATTTGCTCTATTGTGCACATAATTCCACTGAAGCTCAAAGGGCTTTTGCATGTGATGAAAGACATGAAAAACACACTTCCCTAAACAGTTCAAGATGCAAGTTAATTGAAGTGATGAAAACAAAGCCCAATTCTTCCTTCAAAGCTGTAGCTGAGTAAATTATCTCTGTGAAACTCTTGGTTGGCTTTTCCTGTGCTTCACGAGGACAAACTTTGTACACATGGGAAACAACAAAGGCAAAACCGGGCAGGGTACTGAAAACAGTGTGAGCTAATAAGGATTTTACACTAAGACTACCTGATGATGTTCACAAATGAGAATTTCGTCTTAGTGGTGATTTGTAGATTGAAAGTCCGCTTTCTCTGAAGTGATTGGAAAGCTTAGATAAATTTCAATTTCAGCAGCAGCTGAATGCAGCTTCATGGAAATTTATACCGATACTGCTTCAAAAAAGTTTACACCAAGAGAAAAATGGCATCTCAGCAGCATGTAGACAATGTAATGGCTTTATTATATATAAATTAACACATGTACTCTATATGTACCTACCATTCTGTATGTTTTGCACACAAAAGCACGCAGGCTCTGCCTTGATTTTAAAGGAGTTGCCCTCCTATCACGAAAAAATTTTCCCTGTGAAATAACGCACCAAAAAAAAAAAAAAGCCTCCATAATAATAATGGAAGAGGTAATACGTCTCTGTAAGGCTGAAAGCTTTGTGGCTGGGCTCTATAGAGCATAATTAGTTCTGATTACATGCCATGGGCGCCTCAGCATCCTCCCACAGCTTTTCAGCTTGGCACCACACAGAACTAAAGCACTCAAGCCTAAGGCAGGGACATCTGGAACACTTTGGGAACCTCGGCTCGCTCGGTAAGTCAGTCAGAAGCGCCTCTTTTCCACCTGAAAATTTCAACTTCAACTTATTCCCAGTGTGGGGCTGGGTATTTCTCTAAGCACCTGCCGAGCTTTGTGCAGCTTTGGCCGGGCTTTTTGGGCCATTTCAGGGAGAATTACCTTGCTGCGGGCAGACCCCCGCCTCACGCTGTTACCGGGGGCTCCCTCAGGGCTCGGCGGGCACCTCCTGAGGGCTCCCCTCACGCCCGGCTTGGCGGGAACAGGGCTTCCCTCCGGCCGGCGGCACCGGCGGGCGGCTGAGGGACATTTGTAGCGCTCCTGTGGTGGCAGCGCGCCTCCCCCTCACGTCCCCCCTCCTCTCTGCCGGCCCGTGAGGGGCGGAGGTGGGACGGGAGCGTCCCCTCCTCTCCGGAGCGCCCGCTGCGGGAGGCGGGTGCGCTCTCCATGGCCCCGCTGCCTCCGTGACGATGCTGTCCTAGCGAGGGATGATGACAGGCAGAGGAGGAGGAGGAGGAGGAGGAGGAGGAGGAGGAGGAGGAGGAGGGGGGCAGAGCCGCTGTCGCCGCCGCCGGGAGCCCTGTCCCTTGCTCGCATCCCCGGCACTTCCCGGCTCCCGCTGCCGGGCTGCGCATCTCGCCGCCTTCCCGACGGCCGGCGGGGTGGCCGCGGTTTTGTGGTGAGGGGTTTGTCCTCTCCAGGTGCTCTGTCCCCCCACCGGGCAGGGCTCGTGTCTCCCTCCTCGTCCTCCCGCCTCCTTCCCCGCCGCACACGCTGTCGGACGAGGCCGGCCGGGAGCGGGAGCAGCGGCGGCCGCCGCCTGAGGGGACCCTGACCATGTCGAGCAAGAGCAGGAAGAGCAAGGAGCAGGGGAGAGTGACCTTCCCCCCGCAGCAGGATGAGGAGGAGGAGGGTGCAGAGGAAGAGGAGCAGCAGCGCCGGCGCCGCGGCTGGAGAGGCGTCAATGGGGGGCCGGAGCCCCCTCCGCCGCCGCAAAGAGCTGTCAAAACCCTGCGGGAGCCCTACGGATACTACCCGCCCCCCCCTTTTGCCAGCACCATGTAAGTGTGGGGTCCGGGGAGGGTGTTCGGAGAGGACTTCCCCGGAGCCGGGATGCGGCTCCCGGCGAGTTCTGGGCCCGGGGGCGCGTCCCGGCCCCGTCCCGGCCCCGTCCCGGCCCCGGCAGTGCGGGCGGGAGCGAGCGCGGCCGCTTGGCCCCGAGCGCCCTGCGGGCACCGTCCGGCCCCTGCCCGCCCTCGGTCCCTTCCGAGCCCCGCTTCTTCAGGCGTGTGCCGGGGCACAGATGATCCCATCCCTTCCTTTTCCCCTCCAGCCTCTTTTTTCCCCCATGGGTACAAGCGTAGCTGCGGAGAAATTGCTCAGTTATCGGCTCAGCTAAGGTTTAAGGAGCCCATTCCTAATGCATCCGCTTCATCCTTATGTATTTCTTAAATCCATGCCGAGGTAAAACCAAATTCCCCACAGAAATCCGGAACACCTGTGCAGAAAAGCCTTAGCTCTGGAGATGCACCTCATCCTGTTTGGGTGTGCTCTTCCAAAATTTCAGTTTCTTTTCAAAGATGCAATCATAAACACCTATCTATCTAGATATATAAAGAGGTGCCTATTCAACTAGACTTACTGCAAGATAAATGCTTTCCATTTTACTAGTAGGGATGTTAACTTTCTTCTCCCCGACTTGCAAAATGTAGGTTGTCCATGAATTATTCACTAATTTTTATAACACGCTGCAGTTTAGGTAGTCTTAACCTCAGAGGATTGCTTGACTATTTTATATTTTTAGGACAATGTTTAGTTCTTAATTAAATATTTTAATTAGCAGATAGCAAGCCCTGAGTTTTAAGATAAGATATTCAGCATTTGTAGAAGCCTTAATTAAAATCATCCCAGAGACAACTGTAAAATACAGAAATTATTAGGATAGTGCTTAGCATGGGATAACCACAAATAAAAGTGGGGTTTACCATGCCTGTGCAGAAATTCTTCACAAATACCCTGTTCCCAGCCATGTGCACTTTGAATGAATTGCTCTTTCACATGTCTTCAGCTGTCAGAAAGTTAGTTGTGCTTGAGTTACTTGTCTAGACTCCCATGTAGATGATGGAATGGGAGAGGAAATAGCAGTGGGAAAGGCAGCATAGTCATTTATCTTCTTTTTTGGAGGTGCCTGTCTTTATCTGCCATAAAAAGAGACTTGGACACATTATTTTTAGACAGTTCAAGCTGGCTCAGATGAATTATAAGCTATGAGTTCTCAGTTTCTGAGTCCCAAGTGTCCTTCCAGAAAGGCTGGCATATTCCTGTGTTTAAGAAATGGGTTCTACACCACGGGGGGATCAAACTGGGGTTGAGTTGACACAGCTATTGGTGTTTGAGCCTGGAGTGAGCTCTGTCTCATGGAATTGCTCCCTGGTAGATAATTCTTGACATCCTGGGAACCTGTGAGCTGGACTGACAAATGGGCTGACATGGATTAATGTAGTAGGAGTGTATTGAACTCTTTGAGGCGTAGAGGCAAAAGACACAGAACCGTATTTTCCCTGTTATGTGCCTGTGGTCATCCGTGGGGTAGCAGTGGGATTTTTCTCCTCGAGTGACATTCTGTATTTGGTGCTAATGCCTAAAATCACTGTGCATGTTAATGAGATAAAGATGAGCATCAGCTTGCTCCTGATGTGCTCACATTGACACATGTCAGGCTTTAGCAGGCACACAGTGAGAATCCTTGGCTGGAAGGATTTGTCATCTAAATATTCAGCACAAGGTGTGAGGGGATAGAGGCAGGAAGATGTGAAGTAGGCAAGAAGGCAGACATTGTTGGGTTTTGAAATCTCTGAAATCAGTATCCTGTGCAAGGTGCCTGTCAGTGTACAGCTGGCTCCCTCCTGTGCCAAATATTGCTGGAAAAAAAAGTAATTAGCCTCGGATTCCCACTAAGGTTGCAGACTGTATGTAATACTTGTTTCACAAGGTATTATATGCCCCAGTGGGAAAAAAGTGGACAGACCCTGTAAATTAAAAGTAGTAGGCATCAGATACCTGACTTCTCTGAAAATCACTGTGTGCTTTTCTGGCTGGGGAGACAGAACACAAAGAAAGGACAAAGTTTCAAAGGAGCTTTAGAATTCTTTGTTGGTACAGCCCTGTTAACTCTGTTCTTTCCTGGTGAGATGTTTGCCTTGTTCTGTGTGTGTATAGATGCCCTCCTGCCATCAATATATAGTACTTTTTTTTCCCACAGGAATTCAGCTGGTTGGTATTTTCCTTTGAGGAGTTGGTGAAGGGTAATGGTCAGAAAAAGCTCTACATAATTTTACGGGGCAGGAGTTTGTTCCATCCCCTAAGTGCATGTACACCTCCTCCTGATATCTCACTAGTTTTTTTTCCCATATTTTTTGGACTAAATCTTTCCAGTTTGGAGCCAGAACTTCTGTGAGATGACATGAGGGCATTTTGGATGATGGATTGTGTCGTTTCAGACCAGTGGGAGAGTATAGATCTCAGTCAGATCTTGCAGCTGACCTGATTTATGTTCTGCTGTTCAGCTGAATTGGCCTCCCTCTTCTGGAAAGCCCAGGCAGTAGCTCACAGAAGGGAAAAGGAAGCTCCCATTTAATGTAGTTTGGATTTGGTGCAGGGACTCCCACAATTTTTGGAACATGAGTGAACGTGCATGAAGGAGACGCTGCTTTTAGCGGTGAAGAAACAAATGTACCTGTGTCCCATTCTGACACATGGCTGTAACAGAGCTTGGAGAGATGGGAAAGCCTTCCTTTGGGAGAGCAGTGAGGATGGGGATTGTCCCTCCAGCACTGCTTGTGGCCCTGCTCAGAGCCAGGAGCAGCTTCCTCACGTGGAAGAGCTGTTTTTTTTCTGTGACAGGAACAAATAAAACACTTGAGATCGTTTAGTTTGAGAGATCTCAGGAGTCATTAGCTACAGCACTGTGCTCTTATGTATATGCATGTCTGAGCACTTCTATAATGCAATTACCAGTCTTTAAATTTAAAACTGGGACCTCCGAGGTGACTTTTGGCAGAACAAGAGGCACAATCTGCATCTCCTGCTCGGGTGACTCCAGCGTTGTTGCTTTTAAATGCTGTTGGCATAATGTACTTATCAGATCTGTCTGTTACCACTGGACTGCATTTCCTTTTCAGGGCTAGAACAGAATCAGGAACACTAATGTATTGTAGTTCAGCAGGGGGGGAAACTGCTTGTAAATTGTTGATGCCATCTTTTATTGCATGTGATAGTTCAGGGAGAGTAACAGCCTGTACTTCAGCACAAATTGCTCTATGGATCTGGGCAGGCCCAGGATGAAATCTCTGTTTCTCCAGCTACTCTCCTGTCCTTAAAATTGCTTATGCTGCATGCACTGTTAAAAGGTAGACTTAGAAACAAAACTATAAATTTTTTGGATTGCTGTAGATAATGAGGGGGATAAGGAAAAAGGAATTCTCAGGTCAACTCTTCATCCCACATTTCATTTCTGCTTCAGTTCTAGATTGAACATGAACGGGGTAGAGTAACAGAGTAGAAATCTGTAATTGAAACAGCCCAAGGTAGAAGCAGAGGGATTGTTGTGCTTTTTCCAGCCCTTTGCAGTTGCTGTGCTGCTCAAATGTCTTGCCTTGTACACTCCTGGTAGGAATAACTCTGACCAGGCAAGGATATGAGGAAATGTAAGGTCACAGTAAATGTGTGCAGAAAACAGGAGACAAGTGCATTGATTGTTCAGTGGAAAATCTCTTTTTTAATAATTTTTGATTTCCCATATGAAGGTCATACATTTGAGACGAAAATATTAGGTAAAGGTCTTGAAAGGTGATGTGCTCCTTGAGGAGCCTTGGCCACACATGTGGGAGCTCTGCTGCAAAGCAGAGCTGATGAGTCAGTGATTCTCAAGCTTGGGGTGCAGTTCCTGAAGTTCTTCCTTCTTTGCAGTGAAGTTTTTCAGTTCCCCAAAGCAGCTGCTTGGCTGCTGCAGGCTCAGGGCCAAGTGAAACGTGCCCAGATGTGGTGGGACAGATGTGCTTCAGTGAACATGGCTGAGCTCCATTTCCATCCTTCTTTATCTCTACTGACTAATTAATACAGAATAACTGGGCATTTTTCTTACTTGGTCCTTTTGTGTGTTTTTTGCTGTGCATTGTACAGATAATTTTATACTTTTGTGAGTGTGTTCTTTTAACTCTTTGGAACAGTCAGGAAGAGAAGCATCATGATTCCCATCTCTCCTTCCATCTTTTTTAAATGTAGGTTGTCAACACCCTACAGAGACAAGGCTGAGTATCTGAACTTTAAAGGCTTTGGAAATAGAACACAAGTAATTAATGCACATTTAGTTCTATTTTAATCATATTTTTAAGCCAGTCTAATGATGTTGAGAGATGCAACTTGAGGTTTTACTGGTTTGATTATTTCAGATGGCAAATAATCCATACAAAATATGCTGAAAATGGTCAAACACTTAAAACTAAAATTCGAACTATTTTATTCATACTTTGAGATAGCTAAAAATATTAGATGTGAGAAAAGGAAAGCAGAAAATGGAATAGGAGACCTTGTACCCAGCTGTTGCATGCATTACTCTGGCCAGAGCTATGCTGGCTTCAAGGTCTTTGAATTTGCTGAGGGAAAAGTGGAAGAGGCGAGAAGTGTGGATGAACACAAAAACCTCGTGGCCCTGTGGTGCAGCACAAGATTTTTTGCTTTTCCTTTTTTTTTTTTTTTTGACAATATTTTAATCATTAAAATACCAAGCATTGTGTATTTTTATTTTGAGAAGGTATTGCAGTCACTTCTGATCCATCATTTCTGTCATAAGGTTTACAGTTCAGGATATCTTCCTTATTTGGAAGCTACTCTTGAAAGGACAATTTTGAAAGGATATATGTCTCTGCAGAAGTCAGATGAATCACCTCAGTGATCACCCAGATATTGGGGTTTGAAAGGAAGGTAGATAAAATGAGAATAAATGTCATATTTCAAAATATGCTGAGAAATTAAACAGAATATAAAAGGACAAATGTATTGTGCATTTCATAGAAGATAAATGAGTTTTGAAGTGGCAGTTTAGTATTCTCAAAGCAAGAAGTCAGCATGAGTCAATTTGTTTTGTCTTTGTTACATTTTTAATAGCTATAATTTTTTTCTTCATAACGTTACAGTTAACACTACATTTCTGTACCTGTGTGATTTTGGATGTGGAAGAAGAGTGGAAGTGTAACAGCATAAAAGACAATAGGATCTTGTTTAAAAAGAAACTATGAGGAGACAATGTATCTGGTTTTATTTCTGATTTTGTTGGGGAATAAGACAGCAGCACAACGTGGCTGTTCACACTGTGCACCCTGGGCTCAAGGCTTTGTTTCTGAGTACTCTTAAGTGGGAAATATGCCTGAGGTTTAAGACATTAAATTCTGTGTTTAACAGAGTTACAAATCCTCTCTGTTATGTAGCCTCTTTTTATAGATGTAAAGAAGGTGTTTCAGAAGTGAAAAAAAAATAAGAAATAGATCATGTCATGTTTGCCAAAGCGGTTTTGCCACATCTTTCAAAAAGTAAATGGTAGTTATAGCATTGCTTATACTGCAGTGCCACTCAGGCTATTTCAGGTAGTCCAGAAATGCCAGCCACAGATAAAAAGGTAAAAAGATCAAATGTTTCATCCCAGGAGAGACCTGCCCTTGCTAATGAGTTTCACAGTCTCTCTTCTTGATGTGCAAGTGAGCTGCCCATTTGTGTTCACTGAAATGCTCGGGGCTTGGACTGGCTTTTAGGACGTTTGTAAGTGCTATAAAGTGATTAACATTTTACATTTTGATGTAGATAGCTGGAAGGATAGGCCTATCCCTACAGCCTGAATGGAATTAGTTATGCCCAATGAAAGCTCCAGTGCTGCATCCAGTGATGGCAGTGGCCAATTTTGTGCAGGGTTAACAGAGCAAAGCTCATCCTTGAAAGATCACACCCACAAAAAACAGCCCCCAGCACCACTTAGGAGGCTGCTCCTCTGTCTGTGGATTTGAACCTGCATCAGTTTGGATATTTACCTTTCAAAGGTGCCCCTGCAGGTGCTACTGTGTCCACTTTAATGCAGAGCCCTTGCATGACCAAAGGTGCATGTGGCATTTTTCCCTTGGTTCTGTCCTTTTTGCAGGGTTTGCTTAAAAAGGGCTGTTTAATATTTTGGTTTGCCCTTGGCATTCATTACATGGACTCACATCTCTTCTAGTGCACTGAGGGTAGATGTTGCATACAAATAGAGATATTATAAAAGAAAGGCTTTATAAAATGTGGTTTAGGTTTAGGTTTAAGCTAAGAGTTAGCTTGTAACTTTCCATGTGAAAAATCATAAGAATGGAAGCAGTTAGCACAACAGACTATTCTGGTAAGAGAACCATTTGCACCTGTAATAAACAAGAAATCTATCCCATGGGAATCAGTGAACAAAATATGTAAACTAACCAAAACCAGAGAGATTTGTCAGACATACACCCTGGCCATTTACAGGCCAATAAACTGGGTGTCAGTGTATTATTGGTCAGTTAGGTCTAACACAGTGCCTTCTGATATTTCCTATAAATATGAGCTTTGTGAAAAAAGAATTGGCTTTTTCTGCATGAAGAAACTGAGACCCATCTGCTTATTACTGCAATATGTAGGATTAATTTCCTTTTCAGTTTTTCTGCCTGGCCTTTTCCTCCTGTATCTGAGTTTTTCAGCAGAGTGAAAAAAATTAATTTTCACAATGCTCCTGTAAGATGGGAGCCAACTGTTCTTTTTCCAAAGATGAGGAACAGAGGCATGTAGGACCTAAGAAACAAATTTGGAACTTAAAAGATTTCTTTATCCCTGTGTAGTGTGTATATATATATATATATAAATATATAATGTGTTATATGTATTCAAAGCACACCCTCCATTAAGTCCTATTGTTTATCAGCAGCACTTGGTGTCTCCATGCCCATCAAATCATCTCAAGTGATCTCTATCCCTTGAGCTACTGGATTCACTGATAGCAGCTGGAGGCTGCTTTTCTCACTCTTGAGCTGGAAAAGGCAAGAGAGATTGCTGACTGGTTTCATATTTATGTGCAGATGGTGCTGAAGGAAGGTTAGGGTATCCTGAGTACATCTTCAGGCCTTTGGCCTCTGCTCTCCCAGGCACAAATGCTTCTGTTCTTGTCCCAGCTGTGGCCACTTCAGCCTGATCCCGTCCATTCTGTTGGTTCAGACCTTGCCAGGCATTTGTCTCCTGCTGCTGTTTGCTCCAGCTAGTGGAGTGTGTGCTCCTCAGCCTCTCATTCCTTTTCTTTTCTCCTCTGAACCTCCCTGCCCCTTTCTTGTTTCCTTGCCTTGCTAGATCCAGCTCAGCACCCAATCTGCCTGTTCTCTCAGCCACTATTTTCACTGGTTCATAATTCCAGTTTCTGTGATTGCCAAATTAGCTTGCTTACCTATTCTTTTCACCATTACCCTTCTCTTTCCTCCCTCTTTCTTCTTTTGGTTTCTGTGGAGAGTTCATGGGTTCCCTGGTTCTCATTTTCCTTTAAAACATCTCACTTTCCTGCACCCAGGTTTCCTCTTTCTAGTGCAGCAGTTATCCCAATTTTCATTCATTAACTCTTTGACTTCCCCATTTTTTTTTAATTATGGTACAAGAATATATACACAGACCCTCTCAGCTCCTAAAATGGGTGATGTAGGAACAGGCCAAACACAATCCACAGCATTGCAGGAGTCCACTGGAGTGAAAGCTGATCCCAGTCTGTACAGGAGGACTCCTGGTGTCTGGAACCTGTGAGCAGTTTAGTTGCAGAACGTCTGCTGAATGTGTATGCACTACTGCTTTCCAAAAATTTGTAATTTGGCCAAAGTGACTTGTGAGGAGAAGCTTCCAGGTTTAACATTTCTAATAGTAACACAAGAAGCTGTGATCAGGCTTCACCATGTGTTGCTTGGCAAGATATCCCGAAGAAAATGTGTTTTCTCCTCACTTTTATGTGACCTACAACATGGTAAGCATTAAGTATTGCCTTACTTATACCACCAGCTTGAAAACCTGTGATGAATATTAATTACTGCTGGAAGCAGTATAGTAGATGTGCTTTCATTTTATAAACGGGAGGGATTTCTGAGGAGGAGCAATGTCTTAAAAGAAATGAAAAATGTTGATAAATCTTCACCGTGCTAAGGGAACAGCAATGGCCCAAGGCAGTGAGCCCGTGAGTGCCTTTAGACTGCAGACAAGCAAGAGCTATCCCAACAGAGGATCCTGCTTGTCAGCAAATGGCCACAGCACACGGGACAAAACAAGCTGTTTTAGCCACGGGATTGGAAGTTACAAATTACCACCACAGTGAAACTTTGTTCCTTTTCCCTCCTTTTCCCCTCAGGTACATCGAAGAGAGCCCATCGCTGAGGCGTATGACCATGATGAGGGAGAAGGGGAGGCGACAGGCCATCAGGGGCCCGGCCTTCATGTTCAACAACAGGGGCACGAGCCTGACGGCCGAGGAGGAGCGATTCCTGGATGCCGCCGAGTACGGCAACATCCCCGTGGTGCGCAAAATGCTGGAGGAGTCAAAGACACTGAATGTCAACTGCGTTGACTACATGGGCCAGAACGCCTTGCAGCTCGCTGTGGGGAACGAGCATTTGGAAGTGACAGAACTTCTGTTAAAAAAAGAGAACTTGGCACGGATTGGAGATGCCCTGCTGCTCGCAATCAGCAAGGGTTACATTAGGATAGTGGAAGCAATTTTGAATCATCCTGGGTTTTCAGTAAACAAGCGACTGACTCTGAGCCCTTGTGAGCAGGAGCTCCAGGATGATGATTTTTATTCCTATGACGAAGACGGTACCCGCTTTTCTCCAGACATCACTCCCATCATTTTAGCTGCCCACTGCCAAAAATACGAAGTCGTGCACATGCTGTTGATGAAAGGAGCGAGGATAGAAAGACCTCACGATTATTTCTGCAAATGTAATGACTGCACAGAGAAGCAAAAACATGATTCTTTCAGTCACTCTAGGTCAAGAATAAACGCCTACAAAGGACTGGCCAGTCCAGCTTATCTGTCCCTGTCCAGTGAAGATCCAGTGCTCACTGCTCTAGAACTCAGCAATGAACTTGCCAAGTTGGCCAACATTGAAAAGGAATTCAAGGTAATGGTGTTTTTGTTCTTCTCAGTCTTTGTCATTGTTTTAAAGTTGCTGCTACTTCATGTTGTCCTTAGATGCTGAAATGATTCCCTGTGCTTTTACTTTTTCCATTACAAACACTCACATCTTATCGTCTCTTTTATTCTTGATACACAAGCATTTAAAAGGAATTTTTAATGAAATGAAATTGCTTTTGCACCTGCTGTGTTTGGAGAAAATTGGTAAAATTGGAAACTGGAAAAAGTGCGTGTTCTGATAACCTTGCAGCAGATGGAAAACAGTTCTGGTTGCAGCAGCACACAGGGATTGTTCTTAGTTACAAATGCTGAGTAATAGAAGGGCAAAAAGCAGAAACATTTTGCTTTCCTTAAGGGTACTGCAGCACTGACCTTATTCTCTCTTTGTAATTTGTACTGATTTTGACTGATGTCTCCAAACTGTTAAAAATACCCAAAGTGGATTTTTTTTTTTTTTTGGATACACCTTTTAGGAAGGTCACATGTTGAAAACCAGCTGTTAGACTGCTTAACAGCTGTTGGTCCTCTTACCTGGTTTTCAGCTGTTATCTGATTTTGTATGTCAGTGCCCTGACTTCTTTATATATTTCAGCCTTTCCCTCAGACAATTAATGGCTCACTTAACTGTTGCCCAGTGCTTTTTTTAATGATTTTTCAGTTCAGTTGGATACCTTGAAAAGGACCATAACAGCCACTTTTCCTTTTGTCCCTCGTTCTCCCCCTGCAGCCAAACCTTACAAAAAAATCAAACCCCAGCAGATGACTGCTTGTAATGAGAAAAGCTTGGCTTGGGGAATGCCAGATTGCTCTCAGTGAGTAGAGATATTCACAGCATTGTGTCTGGATGTAACAGCAAATTTATTGGGGGTCTGCAAGGCCAGTGTTGGGTACCCCTTGCTTGTTTAATATCTTCAAAAATTACCTGAGAGAGGCAAAAGATGCATTAAACTCTCCAAACAGCAGCAAGCACTGCTTATCCTGTGGAGGACTCAGAAGGAATATACAACAACCTGAAAAAAGACAGGCAGAAATTAATAAGGTGAAATTTAACAGAAGAGGAAGAAAACTCCTGAGAAAGAATAGGTTCATATTCAGCTGAGTGAGTTAAAATAGAATTTTAAAATAAATTTTCAGTGGTGAGAAGGATTAATATATTAGAACACACACGGATAAAGTGTAAAATTCAGCTTAAACCATTCCTCCCCTTTCTTTGCTGAAGGAACTTGCTCATACCGTGCTGTGTATTGTGTAACCTGGCAAATTAATTGAATACTTCCTCAAATGTATTTATTCGGGGAAAAATGTCAGATTTTTCTTTTTCCTCAGATGAAAAAGTACCCTGCCACCAAAAGCTAAATTAGGACAAGCTGCATTGTGTTTTTGTTAGGCAAGGATGTAGATGATTAGAACTGCACAGAAAAATTACAGTGGAAATAGAAATTCATGGGAGCCTCCCATCTCACAGGTACTAATACCGTGCATACACATTTCTTCAGAAGAAAAAGTAGCCTGAAATTTTGGAGGAGAAAAGGTGAAGTTTTTTGGTTGAGCTTCTAATTTCAAACCAGAGCTTTAAAAAATTATTTCAGTTTTTAAAATGGTAATTCCCTGCTACTTTGGGATGCCTAAAACCCCAAGTAATTCACTGTTTTCACAGATTGCAGTATTTTTGGATAGCACTTACATGGCTACTAACCTTCCCAGGTGTATCAGATGATTCCATTTTGGCACCTACAGTAAAAATTGTTCCTGACTCCTTGCTGGCATGGAAATTCCAGCTTCTCATCAACATCAAGACATTCCAGTGAAATAATTACTCTCCTCATTGACATCTCTTTTTTCCCTTCTGTTTCTATCAAGCCTGCTAGGAGAGCTGAGTGTTTTCCTGGGGTCCCTCCCATCTGTAACTGCCTTTTCAGTGCTTTCTTCCCTATAGAAGTGTCATCTGAATCTGTTGGGCTGATCACTTGTGTGCTGTGTCACATCCCAGAGGAGAAGGCTTCTAATCCAGCATTTGCATTCCTGCTGCCCTCTTCTCTGGGATCATCACTGGAAATGCTCAAGTATTCCATTCAAATTCAAGCTGTAGCACACCACTGAGCAGAATTGTTCCAGGGTGGAGGAAACACAACAAAAAAAATGAATAAATCTGTTGAAATCATGATTTATTCTCAGTATCTATGGAATATTAAAGCCCACAATATTTCCTGTGCATGCTCCACTTCCAGGATGCAGAGCACTCCTGCAGAAAATACTATTCTGGGTGGTTTTCCCACAGTGAAAGAGCATAGGTTGAACCTGTTTAAAAGCACCTGAGGGTCAGGTTCCCTGGTAAATTGTTAAATTGAACCTAACACCATTGCATATGCAAAATCCAGTCTGCCTCTCTTGGTTATCATTTACACTAAAAAATTCGAATGTACAAACCAGGGTTTGCAAAGTGAATTAGAGATGTGGGAAGGTGATTTAGACCTTGGCAGTCAATTCCTCAAGAAAACCTGATTAATTACACTGATTTTTCAGGGTTTTGTTTTATTTTCCTTTTAGAAGTAAGGAGAAAGGATTCAAAGAAACCACAGAGCCCTGATTTTTCCTGGCAGATGCAAGGCACATTGCCAAAAAAAAAAAAAAAAAGTATTGAAAATTAATAAAAATAGATGAGGAAACTGGAGCCCTAAAGACCATTTCATTCTACTCCTTTAATCTCCAAGCTTCCTTAATTCCATTTGTGAAATCCTAATTTCGACCTGCTCTCTGTCCTTTTGCTCTTCTTCACCTATTATATTTATTTCTTCTTGACACTTTTGCTCCTTTTTGATCTTTGCATCCACTTGCTTTCTTCCCATGTATTCTTCTATTCAATTCTCTCATGGCCAGGGCAGTGAGTACAGTATTTCTCTGACTTTACTTGGTATTCCTTGTGCCCCTAGTCTCCTAATTCCAGGGCTTGCCAGCAGGATTTCAGATGACATCAGGAATTTCAGTTTGATCTCAGTCAAGAATGCTACCAAATCGTAAAAACAGGAACTGTGTCTTGTCTTAATGTAAATAAGTGACCATTAACATAGTTGGAGGATTATCTTTTCCTGCCCAGTAGCACCACAAAATACTTTGAAATACAAATATTCCCAATCTTTATGTTTTCCCGTTCTCCTATTTTTAGCAGACCGTGGACATTGTGGCTTGGCTTGGGGAATGACAGGGTTGGGTTACTAAAGTTAATTGACATTCACCCCCCTCCCTGAGAACTTGAAAGCTGTTACTGCTCAGGGAAGGGAGGACTTCTGGCAGTCAGAAGAGCTGATGGAACTTTCCTTTGGAGTCACCATAGGAAGAGAGAGGACAAGGTGGCTAAAAAGCCCCGTGGTTATCTCTTTATACCAGCTTTCAAATAAATACTGTCCTGTGTAAGCAAGCTCAGTTCTTCCAGTTGAAATTGCTCTGGAAAGGATCCAAAAGGTTGTAGTTCTGCTTTCTATAGGATAAATCCCTGTTCCCAGTTTTGCTAAAAGCTCCTACTGAACCAAAGGAAGATGTGGACGTGCATCTAAAAGCAGAATTTGTCAGTGTTCCAAGTAAATTTACATAGTGTTATCTCAGCTGAACTAACAAAGAGTGTTCAAGCTTAATCTAGGTTTAGGCTCAGCTTTTGAAAGGACAGGGCCCAGATCCATAACCATTAGTGCAATTATGTGCTTGATTTGCATATACAGTTACATGTGCAAACTCACCATATATGTGATGCCCAAGAGGCCGTTTAGCAGATAATAACAAAAATTTATGATTCACTATAATGACTGTGAATTAGCTGTGCATTACTCCTGAACTTGGGTGCTTGCAGGAATGTGGCTCCTGTAACAGAACACAGATCCCTGCATTTTGTTTGGCTGCGTGTGAGAGCTCAGTGTAAATTTCCTTTGCAGTGGTCACAAACGTTCGTGTGCTTGGTTCTTTGCACACAGACTGATCGATACATTCTTTGTCAAGACTCCAGATGAATTCACAGGGCGGTGCTTGATGTTATGAGTGAGAACAGAGCACAGAAATTTGGGCAGGCTGAGATCCAGCTTTTGATGTGTGTCAGAGTGCTCTGAAACTGCTTGTGAGACACAGCTTTGCAATTCCAGTCACCATCAGTTGTCCTGTGTGTGCTGGAGTCAGCTGCAGAACCTGGGAAATGCAGGGTGTAGGCTGATATATTTTAGTGTTACAAAGGTGTTTGTGCAACTGTTAGTGTTGATCTGGTGGCTTCATTTGTATGTTCTCAGGAGTGAGCAGAGGTGATTTGGCTAACTGGAACCATAAATTAAAATTTCTGATATTCACACAACACCCTAGAGGTAGAAGGTTGTTTGAGAATCAGGTAATGTTTGTCTGTTTAATTCTGTAAAGCAATCAGATAGACTGGGAGAAATTTGATTTGCTAATACATAGGTAAATAAAGACCTGGAGAGGGAAATCTGACAAGTTTTCCTGCTATAAGATTCAAAGCCAGAGTGAGATATTAAGAATGCACATACTGGTTTTCAGTTCTCATAACAGCATTTGAGAGTAATGTAGGCTGTATTTAATCCTTAAATTTGACAGAATAAAACCTCATCCATTATGTCATTAATCTCACCTGGTATTAAGCATAACTTGTATCTACCAATGAAGAAACATGTCACTCCTGTTTCTGCTGTTATTCTACTGCTACTGGAAGACAGCTGGGTAACTCTTTGGGTAGGCAAACATGCAAAGTGTGGAAAAAACTCTTTTTATTTCCTAACTGTTAGAAATCCACTATTTCTTCTTCTGTTTCTTCACAATTAGCAAAAGAATGAGAAAACACTTTGTAATTGAAGCCTTTCCCTGCAACTGGACAGAACGTGTTCATTCATACAAGGAAAAATTTGGGTTGTGTTATGTCATAAAGCACTTCAATAATAAAAAACCATCTAAACTAAACTTTAGTAAACCTTAATAAGATACCACTTTAGACTCTAGGTTAGATACAAATAATAGTAAAACAAATACTTCTTTTTTTTTCCCATGGGAAAGGTAAAAGCGCCTGCAAATTCAGGTGAGAAAGAATGTCATTTCTCTTTTAGTGATGTTGTATTATCACTGAAGTCACTGCAGGAAATGTATTGTCCCATGCACTTTGAAGAGCAGATTTACAGCTACTTTAAAGTGTTAGAGAAAAATTGATTATCAGTCTTATTCCTGTTGAATTACTGTTAAGCTGTGTCTGACGATTTTCATGGTTTTTGCTCAGCCAGCTCCTTTAGTAAATATTTCCTTTAGCTGTAGTGAAATGTGTAAGCAGCTCTGGCTTGAAATTAAATGCTAAAGAAAGAGTGTGTGAGTTCTCACCCATATTCAAGAATTCTTTTGTGGAAACAATATAAACAACATAGGACTTGAATAAACTGAAGGCATGGTGTTGTTTTCAGCTTTATTAGATTGTCTTCAGTCACTCCTTTTTCTCCAGTGAATAAAATCCCCACCTTTTTACATTGTGTCACCTCCTGGTGCTTTCCTTAATATTCTCCATAACCTGAATTCTAGCAGTTTATGCTTTGAGTTTTGGCCTCTGTGATGAAGCTGTTTCTTGACTGGGCTGTTATGAAAGACTTTCTCTTGCTTGGTTTTTTTTGGTGTGGTTTTTTGGTTTTTTGTTGTTTTTTTTTTGTTTGTTTGGTTTTTTTTGTTTGTTTGTTTTTTTGGTTTTTTTTTTTTTTGGTTTTTTTTTTTTGACTGCTGCTATTTTCTAGCCACCATCCTGGAGTCTTCTTTTGCAAGGTTTTTATCTTTGTACTGTCTGAGATCTAATCACATTTCATGTAAAAGCTCTATCTGCATTCAGATTTCCATGCTAGCAAATAGATTTCCCTCCCTTGATTAACTTTTTAATGAGACTTTGCCTTTTAAAAAGTCCTAAATAAATCTTGGTCATATATAAACTTGCTTATCCCTTCACTGAATTTAATCACACATCCCAGTATTATTTTTATAATTGGCTCTTCTGTCCTGTTCTCCTTGGTTACCAAAAACAAATCTAAAATAACCTTACATCCTGTTGTTTCACTGACAACCGAATTAATTTGTCCTCTATGACCAAAGGAAATAACAGGATCCTGTTTAAGGTCTGTCATTAGGACTGCTTGTTTCCAAGTCTGTATCAGGGATGTCAGTTTTGTGTAATAACACAACTTCCAGGAGTATTTGTTTGTCTCCAGTAATGTTTCATTTTGATTCATATCTGAATCTGACCTGTGGGATTAATGGCTGATATTTGTACTTACCCTATGCAGCCTCTTTTCCCATCATTTCCCAAAATAATTTGTAGCTACTGAGAGCACATGAGTTTCTCTGTCCCGTTATATAGATGCTGAGGTGAAAATTTAGCAAAGCTACCTGTGAAAGGAGGTAAAATTACTTAGAAAAGGAGGAAAAAGTGAGGGTTTCAGGAAAAAAAAAGAGATTAAGTGAGAAAATTGTGAGGGCAGAAGCACTAAGGAAACATTTTTGAGAAGACAGGCACCTCTAAGGAAAAACCTGCACCCTCAAAAAGTTATTTTGAAAAGGCAGTGTCTGGAAATGAACAGTAAAACACAAAAAATGGAGAGGCAGAGGGCTCAAATTAGTGTTTTGGTGGCCTGGTGGAGGAAAAAAAAACGGAAGAAAAGCTATGGAGTAATTGAAAAGTACCTGCAGTGCTCAACTAGAAACAGCACAACTAAAATTGGCAGATTCGGTCACTTTCCTTCTCCAGCTGTAGCTTCATGTAAGGAAATCAGAGGCCACATCTCAGATATGGAATTTTTAGAAATCTGTCTGAGAGGACATGGACACAAAAATGAAGACTGAGGTTTCTGCTGAAGCAGAGATCGAGATAAGAATTTATAGGTAACGTCACAGAGGTGGTGGGAGACATTTACAATTATAACCAAAAGTATAAGCAAAATTTCAGATGTGCATGCTTTACAAACTTAGCTAAAAATTCTGAAATGCAGCCACAAATGTTTTGTTAGGGGAGGAAGAAGATTAGAGAGAGGCAAATATTTGATGTTGATGTATATGATAATCCTTGGAAAGACTGAACAGGTATGGAAGATGAATTCTCCTGTTCTTTCCAGAGCACTCTTAGAGGAAATTTGGGGTATTTTGCCCACAACTATTGGTTTCCGAGTTTGTCCTGCAGTTACTCCATGCAGTTACTTTGTAACCCACTGTGCCACTTGTTGGGTATGAGAAGTTCCGAGGGAAGGTGGGAAGCCGAGGGTGGAAAAGGAAAAAAGGGGAAAGGTACCTGGTGTACATCAGAGTCATGAGTAATCAGCCACTTCAGCAGTGTAGAAAGAGCTGCAAGATATTTGTTGCCTCAGAGAAAATGATTTCATTAGTTGTCAGCAAAGATTTTGCAAGAGTGGAGTTACTTTTTTGATAGTCCTGATCCTGCTTTGTTTGCGAAATTCTTATATTTCCTGCTGCCCCGGGTTATTTTCATTACACTCTTAGGTCAGGTGCTCACCTTGTGTCAGAGAACAAATGATTCTGCGGTACAAAAATTCTGCTATATCTGATACACTCCAAACTCGACACAGCAAAAATCAACCCCTTCAATTTTAGCAACTTGTGCAGGGCCTTTTTTTCCCCTCGCCATTGCCTCTTTAAACACGTTTGTCACGGACCATCTTCTGTCCCCTTCCCGTTCCAGAACGATTACCGCAAGCTGTCCATGCAGTGCAAGGACTTCGTGGTGGGGGTCCTGGATCTGTGCCGGGACTCGGAGGAGGTGGAAGCCATTCTCAACGGGGATCTGAGCGCCGAGCCGGTGGAAGCGCAGCGGCACCGAGCGTCCCTGAGCCGAGTCAAGCTGGCCATTAAGTACGAAGTGAAAAAGGTAATTCCTGCCAGCGCCCAGGAGGGCAGAGCCACCTCCTCCTCCTTCTGCAGGGGTCGTGAGCCCGCGGTCAGATACACAACTGAGAAGGTGGTGTGAGTAATCAAAGCTCTCACAGGGCAAGAGGAGGCTGTAATGAAGGAGTTCAGTTTAATCGACTTCCCGCCGCTGAGAAGTGGCAGGAGATTGGGATGACATAAATGAGGTGTGCTAGCGAGGCTTTGCACAGTTGGTCAGATGCTTCTCCTGATTAACCCAAAAGGTGTTTCAGTAGAGCCAGATTTTCACTCGGTGGCACTCAGGCTGTGTTTTCCTGTCAGTCAATGCAATAATACCTAATTCAAAGAGAAGGCTGTGTTGGTTTCAACCCATAAACTGCTCATCTACAACTGTAGTGAGAAAGTCCACCTGATTTAACATGTTTGTTCCTTCAAAAAATATTTTAAAACTCAGCCCTGGAAATGCATGGAATATGTCTGTGTCTGCTTTCTGTTCTTCACCTTTGTACCTGTGTTTACTGGTGTTTTGACAAGCATTTTCAGTAGATGCCTCTCAAAGTATTTTGTATTTTGTGAATTAATGTTACGTGTTGGAAAATGGAGTTGTGCATCACATATTTGACATAAATACATATCCTTTCATTGTAGTTTTTATTGTATTGCTATGTTGTTCTCCTCAAGATCCCACATTAGGCTAGCACAGAAAATAGCTACAACTGTGTCCTGTTGTGAGAGAAGCCAGGAAATACAGCAGTGCCTATGTATTATTTACAGCTACCTATTTATGTGATTAGCATCACTTCCATTCCTTACAGCCATTATAGTTTCATCATCTCCACAAGAAGCCTTATGTCTCTCAGAATAAATAACTGTGTTCTGTGGCCACCCCTTGAGCCAATCTGCCATATAAAATGAATTGTAAGTACCTTGCCAGAACAACTGGGGATTGCTGGTGTTTATGACAGCCCCAAAAGATTGACAACGGAAATTTTAAACTCAGATCCCAAGCAGCAAATCATCATTTCCAGTACAGGATTGGTCTACAGCAGATAAATGCAATGTAAATATAAAGAAGCATGAAATTAATTTAAAAGACTGGAACAGGGGAAAAAATCAAAGTGCATAAACATGCTGTAGTGTCTAGATATATATATTCTTTATGGTATTGTAGCTTAATGTGTACCAAAACTTTGTTGAGACTCATGTCTCAGCTTTCATTCTGAAGGCTGTGGTTTTCCTTTATGAGTCTGTTGTCACTGATGAAATTCACTGCTGAGCAAAGGGCCACACAGATCTGTTAAGAATAACAGAAATCTAAATAGTGAAAAAAAAAAAAAAAAAGAGAGAGAGAATTCCTCGTAGCAAACTTGTTCTCTTGCAAGAGAGAAGCTCAGAGTGCTGGCTGCAGTTCATGACAAATACAGTTCAGAACCTACAAGAGGAATGATGTTGGTGGGAGGAAATAGATGATGGTGCAGAGTTGTTACCATATTCATACATGTGCAGTTCCCTGGCATGGGGAGGATGGAAAGGTGATCCTTTGGTGCTGGGATTTGCTCTGTCAGAGCTGTGACAGATTCTAGTGATATCCTGACTGGAACAGATTCAGATGTAGGAAGTCCACGTGGGATTATTCCAGTCCTCTCTCCCTAGGAAGCAGACAAGGATGTGGCCTATTTCCTTAACTTCCCTTATTTCTAGCTGTGCTTCCAGGTCAGGTCCATCAAGGTCAATCCCTGTTGCCAACAGTGCAGCCAAAGAGAGCAGCAGCTCCATGAAATAGATAATGAGCCTATGCCCTGTCCAGAGGGAGGAGAAGCAGGGAAAAACGGATGACAAATAGCAAATGTGCTCAGAACTTCACTGCTAGGGAAAAGGAGTTTTTAATTCTATTAGTAATGAAACCCTTGCACTTAATGCCCTAGGTACTGCATCAAAGTGGAGCCCATCTTTTAAACATGATGTGGTTTTGAAGCTAAGGTCCAGACTGAAACTGCAGCCCCAATAGAGAAGGACTAGGGGAATTAAGGGAGAAAGAAAAAGGAAAAAAAAATTACTCTTGCTCTGTATGCTGAATTACTGCTGTAGTAGTGCTTTTAGTTTTGTGTCTCAACTCTGTCTTTAGATTGCAAACAAAATTCCTGAGAAGAGCTGACACAGGCCCAACTAATCTGCAGTTCTTGCCAAGACAAAAATCAGGATGGAATTTCCAAGTGAAATCAATAAGAGCTGGAATAAAATCACAGGAGTTAATTTTCAAACCCTGAAGTGTTCAATTGATGGATAAGAAAGAAGATGAAAAATTCTCTTTATATTTTGTGTGTTAATATATCAGAGAGTGCCAGGATTTGTTCTTGCTCTAAACCCAGCCATTATGATGGTAGAAATAAATAACATAATCACTCTGAGTCATACAGAAAAATATTTACATACTGATGACTTGATTCATGGTCGTGAAACTGAAAAGATCAGAAGTGTTACTGTCAATTATGCTTGGAAAAGCAGCTACATTAAAATTGGGATTTTTTTTCTTTTAGTGACCAGATACTGTTCTCATGCATCATTTTTGTTCACTGGGGTTCTGCTTGGAGCTGAAAATATTAGATACATGTGCTAATAAATTCAACATAATTAATGAAAAATGAGAAACTGCATGGAAAGTAGAGTGAGAGGAGAAATGCAGGAAGAACAAGGTTGTAGGATGATGTGAGCAGTAGGTAAAACATGATGTCAACCTGCTGTCCTTGGAGGAGATGAAGCTGCAGGCAAATACAGGTAATACAGACACACACTCAACAGGGGTGGGCACAGTTTGAAGCTGCTGAAAATAAAACCAACATAATCATAAGCTGAAGTATTTCAGTAAAGACTGAGAGAAGAGGGATGAATTTCAGAGCTTTTATGGGTGAGAAGTGGCACAGCTCACTCTGAGGGCTTGGAAGTGGTGCACATTGTGCACTTGCCAGCAGTTAAATAAGTTGCTAAGATCCTCTCAAGAGCCTTTAGACTCACTGCCAGAGAAGAACTTGCCCATAACTCTTGGCATCTTATTCACTAAATCTTCTCTTTCTTTTAATGACAGCAGATCTCCTCTTAGTGTCAGATGAAAATGTTGATAGATCAGGAGAACAAACCAGCACAGAGCTCTGGATGAGGTGCCACAGGGCCCATGCTCTGATTCCCAGCCCTGGGTAAACTTCCTTAAAGCTCCTTTACTGTTTCTTCCCATTCCCTGTGGTAACAGAAGGAATGATGTGGGTGTTCCTTCCCTCCTCTTTCCTACAGTTTTAAGCCTGATTTTAAAAATGTCTTTGTAATTTGAAATAATTATTTACTTTCCTGCCTTTGTCCACAGTTAATCTGCTGTGGGATTTGTCCCTTTGATGTCCTGAGTTGACAATGAAATTTATCTTAGCCAAAGAAGAAGCTGGGGGCATATGTCAGAATGCACAAACACAAAAAAACCCCAATCTCTTCTTCTCAAATGGGCCAGGCTGGCAGTTTTTATGGTGCATAAGCTTCAAAGGTGACAGCCTAATAAAAAGAACAGAATCAGTTTGAGTTGACATTAATTTATTAAAGGACTTTTTTACAATCTCTTTATTTATTTCTCTTGGCCACTCCACTTTATGTACAAACTGCATTAATATGTGAAGTAACTGCTTAATGCATGACACACCAAAATGCTTAGGGACTTTAATTTTATAGCAAAGTAGATTAAAGTATGAAGATTGCCTCCCTTTTTAAAGTTCATGCAGCAGTTTCAGATTGCTCTTCCTTGTGAGGTTTAAGGTTCCCTGTTTTCATTGCCAGTGATTTAATTTGATTTTCTTTCAGAAGTCTGTCCTGTTGTACTACTCTATGCACTTTTTAATGAGATTTGGAATATTAATAGAGTTTTGCAAACAAGACCTGGCAAACAACAGTGTATGTAGTACATAATGATCTCTGCAGAGTACAAGGGGTAATAAAATGGGTATCCAAGGTTTAGAGTATTTTCATTTTTCCAGAGTATAACCAACTGACATCAAATCTCACTCTTAACCCAACAGAAATTATCAGTTATCAGATTTCTTTTCAAACTCTTCAAACCCTCACCTTCTTTATTCTGTTTTACCAGTTTTTGAAAAGTGTATTAACAGATTTCTTCAAACTGCTGTGGAAACCAGGCTGCTCACCCTTGTGCATAACTCTGGTGTCCCATATACTCTTGTGATGTGGCAGTTTCTTCTTTATTTATGAACCTTTGTTTCAAAGGAAACAAGAAAAAAAACATGGTTCTTAAATATCTGGTGTTCATTTAGACCTTAAGGTGATCACAATTGTTATTAATGTCTTCTTATTAATGACAGCATGTCTTGGTTTTACTTTCCTTTTCTTTCTCTTTTTCTTTGCAGTTTGTGGCCCATCCAAACTGTCAGCAGCAGCTCCTGACAATCTGGTATGAAAACCTCTCAGGATTACGGGAGCAGACCATAGCTATCAAGTGTCTGGTGGTGCTGGTTGTGGCATTGGGCCTCCCCTTTCTAGCCATTGGTTATTGGATTGCACCATGTAGCAGGGTACTGAATTTTATCAATTATGTGTCTTGTGCTGTTCTCAGAGCTGCTTTTCCTTTTCTGGCAGTCAACATGCGATTTCTGCTGCTTTCAAATTTTAACTAATTAATGATATTTTTAGCAATCTCTAACCTTGAGCCAAAAGATGCTTAGGGGGTTTTTTGTTACTTGCACTTGTAAAGAGGGGACCACAATGATGAAGCATGAATATAAATTAGTGTTAAACTGAAGGAAAGAAAAATAACCTCTGAGAGCTTTTTTTCCTTTTTAAATTTCCCTAGGTTGTGCTCACCTCACAGTCTCTGCTGTGTAATTTCTTTGTATTAGTAACATGGATTTTTTTGAAAGTCACCACTAAGATTCTTTATTAAGTCTCCTCTGGTGGCATCCTGAGGTCTCATGCTGTTCCCATATAAACCATTAACAGAACATCTGTTGACTTTACTGATGCAGAACTTAATCTTAAGTAAAATATTTGTTATCCCAGCCCTAGGAGGTCTGTTTGCCAGCTGAACCGTAGAGCAGAAATTAAATTAAATGCATCATTCTGACCATGTAGTGGGGTATATTCATAGAAGAGCTTAGCTGTAAACTCCTACATTTTTAAAAATATGTGAGAGTGTAAGGCTGCTCCCACCTTTCCTGCTGATCTCACAAGGAAAGGAGCAGCAGCTTCTTTGAAATCCTGAGAGTCTGTAGCACGTTAATTGCTTGCAAATCAGATGTATTGATAGATATTTGATAAATCAGATGAAGGAAGATTTCTCTGGTGCATTAAGATTTTTAAACAATTTAAGTACATTTACTCCTGTGCTGAATGTGGTCTTCCAATTTTATTTCCTTAGCAAGTGTAAAGCAAAGAAATGTGAGTTTCTTTTATATTTCATTCTTTTAGTTCATCTCAAAGAGGATAAGGTTTTTCTCACCTACATGTTTGAAGGGAACCTGATCTTTTCCCTGGGTTAAATGTTTATTAACTTTAAAGATAAACTTTAATGAAAATAATGTAATTGTTACTCTCATTATCCTCTGAAATGTCACTTCCCATTAATATCTTCAGTAAATATATTCCTTACAGCTCCATATAATAGGAACATATTAATATATTTTCAGCTGGTGTCTAATATGGAAAAATGACATTTGTCCTTGAGCTCTAATTCCCAGTAGCAGAAACATCTGATGTTTTTCCTCAGTGCTCATGTCCAATAAAAGTGCTATACATTCAGGTCAGCTGCTGGATATTGCAATTTCAAAATGCTTTCTAAAGGTCAGGAGCAGGAAGGGAACCTGAGATTGTTTGCCCAGGTAGTAAATGCAGTTTAATGTGCTCTGGTTTGCTTAGTTCATAGCAGCTGACCCAAATTTCAAGGAAAACAATTCCTTAAAATAAGAAAGCTCATGTGATCTGGAAGCAGCTGGTTCCCTCTTCTGGTGCAGACAGACTGCCCCTACTGCTGCTGTTTTGTTTTTTTTACCTGGTGCAGATATTAATTAAACCTGCTGAATTTATTTTAATAATCACTAATATTTCTGATCTTATTTTGTGGAACAGTCTTTAGTGTTAATAGACACAGGTACTTTTTTGGGACTTAGAGCTCTGAACAGGTGTTCTGTGGATGGAATATAGTAACCAGAGAGAAGAAAGTAATTTATTTTTTCCTAGAGCTGTAGTTATAGAAAAGTTAATAGTACATTCTTGTTAGGGAAAATGTTTTGCTGGAGTTGGAGATTTTAATAATTTATCTTTTCCTGGGCTTACTTTATAAACTCTTGCTGGTCGCTGCCATCGTGCATTTGCAATTCCATGGAGTGTTTCCCCTCCAACATTGCCATCTAGAGTTTATGGAATAACATGAGCACTCACTAACAGGACACATACTCTGTGAGGCTCCCTGTGGGAGCATTTTGTCTGAAATGGCAAAGCATCACAGCTGAGTGCTCTCAGATGAATATCCTCTAAGAATGAGGTTTCTGGCTGAAATGAGCTCTGAGTGCCCATTTATGCTTCTGGAATTCCTTGTGTTTCTTTGAGAAAACTGAGTGACTGCTTTCATTCTGCCTTTGCAGCTTGGAAGAATTCTTCGAAGCCCATTTATGAAATTTGTGGCACATGCAGCATCCTTCATTATTTTCCTAGGCCTGCTGGTGTTCAATGCTTCCGACAGATTTGAGGGCATAACGACGCTGCCGAATGTCACTGTTACTGATTACCCCAAGCAGATCTTTAGGGTGAAGACCACCCAGTTCACCTGGACAGAAATGCTGATCATGGTGTGGGTTCTTGGTAGGTATATTGTCCCTTCATCTTCCTGGTTTTTTGCAAATAGAAATTCTGAAAGGGAGGAGAGAAGCCCAGGTGCCAAAACTTTGGTCCAGCCGCTGTGTGCTCTTGTGGAAAAACTAAACCCTCTGATTCAGAAGTGGCTTGGGAATGTAAATGGTAAGAAAGTAAGAGGGCAATTCCCCCTCCCCCCTTTATTTTTCCTCCTTTGAAATTAAAGAGGTTTTGTTCTTAGGCCACAATATTTTCACTACAAAGTCAAGGCCTACTCTACCCTCTGTGTGGTGATGTCTGAACTATATTTCCATTAATTAATTTCAATTAATACCTTGCTATTTTATAAACCCTCTTGAAACTAAGAGAGAGTAACCTTAGTGAAGGGGATGATGATGCTGTAATATTGAAAATAAATTTCTGCTCCACTGGTATCACTTCCATGAAATGAGAGAATGCAGGGAATTTAAATGCCAACAGTTTGGCAAACATTGCTGTGGATTTTCATTTCTTGTTGCAGGTATGATGTGGTCAGAATGCAAAGAGCTGTGGCTGGAAGGACCCAGGGAATACATCTTGCAGTTATGGAATGTTCTGGATTTTGGGATGCTGTCCATTTTCATTGCTGCTTTCACAGCCAGGCTCCTGGCATTCCTTCAGGCCACAAAAGCACAACAGTATGTGGACAACTACATTGTGGAGAACGATCTCTCTGAGGTCACACTTCCTCCAGAAATTGAATATTTTACTTATGGTGAGCTTCGTTTTTCTCCCAAACAGATCTGAACATAGGAAAGCTTCAAGGATGCATTTAGAAGCCTCTCTTTACCCTAAAGCTAAATTTGACCCCCTTGGTTTTAAACGTTTGGAAGTTATATTTTACTCTTGGCTAATTGCACAACAGATAAAATGTTGATGTGATTCCTTTCTCTTATTTTTCTGGTTCAGTTGTTTGATAGTTATTCAGGCTCATAAACATCAGCATTTCCTCCTGAAGGAAGGATGCTGGCTCTATGAAGGTCTGCTGAAGTAGAATAAAACTACTAAATGTTTATAGAAGTGGAGAAATTGTCAGTAAAGGTGTGATTAATCTCTATTTGCAACACAAGAAAATGCTGCTGACTGTATTTTAGGATGGACTTCAATATATTGTAACAGCAGACTTGGTTTTGTTACTTCCCTTAATTGCAGTATAACCAATCTGAACTTGTACATATGTAAATACACATTTAAAAACAAAGGGTATTTTGATATGAAACACATTTTAATTCAGCGCTGCTCTCCTAAGATGGTGCATGAATTCTCATAGTAATTTATGATTTTCTGTATAACTCAATTGTTTCTCTGCACGTTGTGTGTAAAACCCACAATCCTATTTCTTTTGAGGTAATTGGCAAAACTCTATGGTCACTATGGGAACTGGGTTATATCATGCAAAAAGCAAAAGCTCGGTGTGACTAATAAATGAAATTGTTCATCAGGCAACACTTAACTTCCCATCAATAAAAAACCAAAGAGGAATAAATTTCCCAGCTTTAGCATGGTGCTTGTTAAGATAGCTAATACAGGCATGTTAAAAAAGGCAGTAAGGAATTAGCTATTGTTTAGGTTAAAATGGAAACTGCAGAAGAAAATGTCATGTTTCTTCAAGTCACTTTTCTTCTAACAGAAGGCAATGTAACTCATAATTTGTGACTTAAATGAAATAGGAATAGAGCAGTAACTATTAGACTCTTCAAATATTTGTCTCAACTAAATTCAGACATGTTAATGGAAAAATCCTATCAAGGTTTACTCCTCAAGATTGTGATAAATTAGTAACCCCTGTATTTTGTATCTTCCAGCTAGAGATAAATGGCTCCCATCTGATCCTCAGATAATATCTGAAGGCCTTTATGCAATTGCTGTTGTTCTCAGCTTTTCTCGGATTGCATATATCCTGCCTGCAAATGAGAGTTTTGGGCCCTTACAGATCTCTCTTGGAAGGACTGTTAAGGACATCTTCAAGTTTATGGTCCTTTTTATTATGGTATTTCTTGCATTTATGATTGGAATGTTCATACTGTACTCCTACTACCTTGGAGCTAAACTAAACCCGGCCTTTACAACGTAAGTATGAGGTTTCATTTGATTTGATTTCATTCAATCAAAACTTTCAGGTTTTTCACTAAATTAATAAAGTCTGTGAGACATTGTGTCCTCTCTCTTAACATTAAAATAAAACTGCAGACCTCAGAAAGCAGAACACAAAAGACCAATTGTTCCCTGTTTGTATAATGGAAACTTTCGTTTCAGCTTGAAATAATTTCACCTGCATATATTTCAATCATGCAGACCTGTGGGCAACCAATTGGAAGAGAATATTACTTGATATAAAATACCTTTCTAGTTCCTGTTGTTCTGCATGTATTGTTACAGCTCTATTAGCTGTGATGGATAGGTGGAGCACAGAGGAAAAATGGGAAGTGCTGTGAAAAATGTTTCCTTGCATCTTTGTTGTTTTGATCAGTGCTCTGATTCACAGACAAATTAATTGAGGTTGTTTATCAGTCACTGTAAACACAACTTACATATTTCTTTGTGTAGTTATTAATAATGCCTTCCTTTTTTTTTTTTCCCTACAGAGTGGAAGAAAGTTTCAAGACTTTATTTTGGTCAATATTTGGCTTGTCTGAAGTAACCTCTGTTGTCCTCAAATATGATCACAAGTTCATTGAGAACATTGGTTATGTTCTTTATGGCATATACAATGTCACAATGGTGGTGGTTCTGCTCAACATGCTCATTGCTATGATCAACAGTTCATATCAAGAAATTGAGGTGGGCTCTGTTCTCAAGTTGTTCTCCTCTGTTGTGCTGAAAAAAAGGCAGAGTTAATAGCAATTATTTCAGTGGTATGCGAAAAGTACAAAGAAGAGATTGCCACAGGAAAGGATATCACAAAATGTATAAAATAAATCTGGCTTTATCTAACAGCTCAGCCAAGCTGCAGAACCCCACAGGATCTGAACAAGTTTATCTCGTGCCATGTACACACTATATTTGGCATCCAACTCCAATTTAAAAAAAAAATCAGAAAATGTAGAGTATTGAAGATATTTGGGTTTCAAAAATAAATCTCAGGTTGCTGAAATGAAACTAAGAGTATATTTATAGTGCCAGCTTTCCAGACCATGAGTTCAAAGAGTACCACATTCACACACACCCACACAAACAGGAAGAAGGATAATCTAAGGCATAGTGTACAAATGGATATGTCATTCCCTGTCTTTTCAATGAGTTCTGGGAAATGTTAGGGAATTCAGCAGGACAAAACTAGTTATAATCCAGCCTTGGAATACTTCATAAAGAATGCATTAGGACAAAATAAGTTTGTCAGTATTTAACACAACTTCTTCATGACCACAACATTTGTATTGTCTATCCTCCATTATAAATCAGAGTTGCTTATCCTGGTTATGTAAAAAGCTGTGAGCACTACCATTTTAAGCCATTTTTTGCCTTCAGTCTAATACTTCAACACTTGTGCAAGTACCAAACTCATGTGACCACTTCAATAAGAAAAACAAGACTTGTAAAACCCCTGAAAGCTCCACTTTAAATAGCAGGGAGTTTATATGTTGGCTTTCACTTGATGCAAAAATTATCCTTGTTTAAATGTTTCATGTGCTTGACCTAAGTATTCTCAATGAAATGTTGCCATTAAGAGATGACTGAAATTTGGTTAAAATAGACTGAGTAAAGTGGTTGCAATTTTGCAGAACTGCTGGAAGTCTTACTAGCAAGAAAATAATATTTTATCTAATAGCAGAAAGATATTTCAAAGCAGCTTTAATTGAAAGAAGCTTTGCACTTCATAAAAACCAAGACCATAATTGTTTCATTTCCTAACACAGGATGACAGTGATGTAGAGTGGAAGTTTGCCCGTTCTAAACTTTGGCTGTCATATTTTGATGATGGAAAAACCTTACCTCCACCCTTCAGTCTTGTACCAAGCCCCAAATCTTTTTTCTATTTCATCATGAGGATCATTAACTTTTCTAAGTGCAGGAGGAGACGGCTACAAAAGGACATTGAAATGGGAATGGGCAACTCCAAATCAAGGGTAGGTTCTGAGATCTTTTCATTGCAATGAAGAATTCTATGTCCATTCCAAATGTCTTCTTTTCTTTTTAGTTTTAGCCTATAATCCATGCTTCTGATGATAGTAATTAATCATTTCTATCAATAAATCTCTATTTCAGACTGCCTAAACATACTGCATAAAACAAGAAATAGGCATAAATTTTGTTAGAACAACCAAATCTGGGGAAACACAATTAAAACAAAAAATTGATGAGCGTTCAAAGATGCAAATAATTCCCACAAGGAGTTACTTGAATATTGATTAAGGATAGTTTAAGCCTATTTCCTCAGAACAGGATGGCTAAAATTATCATCATTTAAAAAAAACCAAAAGAACAAAACCAACATATAATTCAAGACAATGTCATTTTTTTAAAGATAATACTCTGATATAGTAAAAGAAGAAAAGATCCCCAATATGTCTAAAGAAAAAGAATAACTGAGCTGAATCCTAACTGTGAATTCCATAGTTTATTTTGTCTTATTTCTTCCTAGTTAAACCTTTTCACTCAGTCGAACTCCAGAGTTTTTGAATCCCACAGTTTTAACAGCATTCTCAATCAGCCAACACGCTATCAGGTGAGTCCATCCAGTGTTCACTGGCCTGAGTAATAGAACTGTGAGAAGGTTCTAGCAGAGTTTTGTGTTTCAAGTACATTTTGCCTTCACCAGATAAAGAAAACCTCCTGTAGAAATTAAACTCTAGGATGCTCCTTGAAAAAAAAAGACAGTTATTGTCTAAAGCCCATTTTTTGAAGTATTTCAAAACTAGCTCATGCAGTACTTAAAATTGGTGTTTGATGTCCCAGTTGGGAAAGTGTGAGGAGCAAACATCTGAAACTGGGGAAGGAATATCTGGAATGAGTTTCTGGGTAAGGGATGTGAAAGCTGACTAGATTGGCTGTTCCCTTCCTTTCTCAGCATGCCCCCAGAAAAGCCCATTTGAGGCAAGTGCTTCATTTGGGGCTGTTCATTCTTTTTCTTAGGCAGATGTGATAGAGAGAGTTAAGAAAGAAAAATGAACAATGTTTAATTATATAATCTCACCTGATTATATAACTGTTTTAATCTGGCAGCAAATCATGAAGAGATTGATAAAACGTTATGTTCTGAAAGCACAAGTGGACAAAGAAAATGATGAAGTCAATGAAGGTAAGAAAGAGACTGCAATATTCAGAGGCAATTTTTTTCATGTTGTATTAGGAACCAGTATTACAGTGATGCATGGGGGGTTTGAGTGAAAAGAGGGATTAGTTCTATTTCACATACACTGAGGCTCAGATAGTAATGGAAGTATCATCCGTGTCATCCAAAAAATGGAAAAGTAGGACTTAAAAAGTAGAACTGAGAAATATTAAGGGCCCCATTTTACAGACAGAAAATGAGAGCACAGACATAATGCACAGAGGAAACCTGTGAAGGAGCCATTAACTGTATTCACACTTCCAGAGTCCTAATCAAAGCTGCAGGATCTTCCTCTCTGTTTCATTCAACTGAACACACAATTATACACAATCTACCACTTTACACCATGAACTATTTGTCCTGCCTTCCTTCATAAAGCTGTGAGGAATAATCACCTGTGAAGCTGCCCATCATTAAACAAAGCTCTAGAGTCAGCTGCATGGTGATAAAAAATGACAAATGTAACCTCTATTTTAATGGGAGACCTTTTGAGAAACAGTGGATTTGAGCTCCCTGGCAGATGTGAGAGGTGCATGCTCCAAATGCACACCCTAACTGACCACTGGGATGAGATTTTGGCAAAGCTTGTCCTCCATCCTCCAGCCTTCCAGGAATGAAACACAGGCCTGCAGTCCAACAAGCAGACTCCTGTGCTGTGGGCAGATCCCCAAATGAAAACTCTAGCTAGAATGTTATCAAGCAATAGAGTGATGCAGTGATGGACAGCCTGGGGTCAGAAGATGTTTTACTGGCATGGCAGCTGTGTGCATGTGTGATGTGAGGGGCCTGAAAGGGCTGCTCAGCTCTCAGCTAAGGCAGAAAAGCTTCTGTTTTGTTCCTTAGTTGTTCTCTCTGCTTACCTGTAACTCTCTGCAGCAAGAAGCAGGGAGCGAAAAAAGATTAAATTAAATCCCCCTCAGTGCCTTCCAAAGGCAGCATTGTGCACTGACTGTTATCATGACACTTCCCCATCCTGTACAGAGCTGTGATTGTCAGTGACAAAAGCAGAAAGGCTCCTAAAAGTGAATTCTCTCAGTGTGCTGCTCTCCTGAGTTCCCACTGCTTTCCTACTGTTCCTGCTCTGTGATGAAGGAAATCATCTACCTAGTGAGTGATGAAAAGATTGTTCTGTCACCAGCAGTGCCAGCCCTCTCCAGGTCCCTGATGCCACTTTGGTGTTGGCAGAGATGTGTTTAAATTAGCAAGACCGTGCAGAAGAATCAGGGTTTACTGACATCATGGTTCTGGCTTTGGCACCAGGTTTTACCAGGTAGAGCAAAGTCCACTTTGAACAGGGCAAGTAACCTTTGAGTTTCACTCTTCAGCTGCACAGCCAAGTGCTCTGTGTCCTGAGCATCTCATTGGTACCCAAAGTACAGACCCAGCCTCTGAAGACACAATTCTTGAGGTCTGCTATACTCTAAACAGAAAACATTGGCATTTCTATGCACTATAACTGCTTTAACAAAAGTCTGGAGATGTTCCCTGTTTCCCTCCATCACTAGAGAATTTAGGTGTCTCTTCATACTCTTTTATTTCATACATGACAAATCATTTCCAGAGGCAGATACTGTGTAAGAATTCACATCTCTCACACTTGCTGGAAGAACAGAATTTGAAGATTTTTAAAAGCTTTTGCTCTTGGACTGAATATCCTACAAGGGAAAACATGCTGCTGCTTATTACGAGCCTGGCCTTCACACGTGTCTTTGTTTAAATGAGATTTTTGTATTTGTGTCAAATTATTATATCATGCTAAATTGGTTGACTTTTTCTAATTCCAAGGGTGTTGTTAAGGAAGAGGAGAAAGACTCAGAAGCTGTGAGTTTTACTGCCAGCTCTGCTACACTTTTCCTTTGTGATTTTGGCACATCCCTTCAGAAAAAAATCTCTTTTCCTTTTCTCTCTAAAAAGGGGATACTAATATTTACCAGCTGTTCAGCAGTGTTGGTGTGATTAATTCATTAACCTTTGTACAGCTCTTTGGGAATCCTTGATGTTCTGTATACACGTGGAGCACAATGGACTGTTAAAATTCCTTTGGTACTATTTAGGGATGGAGACACATCTCACTGAGAATGAAGGAGAGATGAATCCTCCTGACTCATCCTGTACCTGCTGTCATGAACATTTTGGGATGATAATCTGAAATAGGCACTGATGTGACTTAACAAAAGAGTATTGACTGAATGTTAAAATTTGCTAACAAGTGTTTCTTTCTATTATTAATGCAGGTGAATTAAAGGAAATCAAACAGGACATCTCCAGTCTTCGCTATGAACTGTTGGAGGATAAGTCCCAAGCAACAGAAGAGTTGGCAATTTTAATACATAAACTCAGTGAGAAACTAAATCCTAATATGCTGAGATGTGAATGATTCAACAAAGGAACCGTGGCTTCGACTACAGCACAACTATTTATTGGCAATAATATTTCAGTATCTTATACTTGAAAAAAAATGTATTGTAGATTTTTAGCACTAAATAACTTTATGTACAGCTTCTCTGGAATTTAGTCTTAGGAACTTTTATTAACTCACCACAAAAAGATTGCTCTCTTCATTTTAATTGTCTAAAAGCAAGAACTATCATAACATTTTTTTTGCATTTATGCATTAAAAAGGTATAATGGTATCGATTGCTGATATTTTAACAGGTTCATGATTACATATGGAGAATTCTTTGCACTAAATTTGCAAGACAAAAAATTAACAGATACAGCGTAATACTCTGTTCCTTGCAGTGTCCAGGTACAAAATAGGATTTTTCATACTACAATAAACCAACTAGAGATGAGTGGAGGATTACTTGAAATCTTTGTTCTTTATTAGCGGTGCTAGTAACGCGTGTAAGCCCAGAACTCATGGTTATGACCACAAGGAGTTGCTGAGAACCAGGTAAGTGGGAATGTAATGGCAGCAGCGCTGTTTAACATGTCTGTGTATACACGTACTTACACCGACCCTTTCTTAATTCAGTCTATTTACTCGGCGAACAGTAAGGATTTTTTTCATTTAAACTCAAACTCCGTGCAGGGCTGGTATTTTTGGCTTCGTTGTTAAATAAACCACTCCTCCCGTACGCCTCGGCACCGAGCCCGGGATTCCCGTAGGAGCCGCCCCGGGGCGCTCCCGGCTCTGCCCGCCCTTCGCCCCGCCCCCGGCCTCATTCCAGCCAATCGCAGCTCCCCTTTGGCCGAAGCCCCGCCCCCTCCCGCCATCCCAGCCAATGGGAGGCGGGCTCGGCGCGGAGGTTGCCGCGGTGACGGGCGGCGGGCGCGCCGTGCCCGCGGGAGGGACGGGAGCGATGGAGCCGAGCCTGGCACGCGTGGATTACCTGCAGGTGGGCACGGCAGTGCCCCGGCAATGCCCGGCAGTGCCCGGCAGAGCCCCGGCAGCGGGACGAGGCGGCTCGACCCGCCCGGGTACGAGGGCCGGCCCCGCGGCGGGGCCTGCGAGCGGCCCGAGGCGCTTCCCGGCGCTGCGGGCCCCGCTCAGGAGCGTCTTTTCCATGCACAGGTGGGAGTCACGGCGCAGAAGACGATGAGGCTGCTGCCCGCCTCCGGGAAAAAGGCCACGCAGAAGGTACCGAGCGCCTGGTGCTTCTCTGCCTCTCCTGTCCTGTGCCTCATCCTGGCCTTAATCATCTCCAGAGTTTCCGTAGATACGGGACGTCATAGGGAAAGATCGTGCAACCCCGTTCTGGGGGGTTTGGAAAAGCTTTTTTTTGGAAAAAAATAGACAAAAAAAAAATCTGAATATGGGATTGGAAAACTTCAGAACCGGGAAGGAATTTTTGTAGTTTGCGGCATTGCTGAAACCACGAGGGAGTTCTTCTTTCTCTATTTTGGTTTTAATAACACTTAAGACTAGAGGAAATGGCCTGAAGCTGAGACAAGGGAGATTCAGACTAGGTATTAAAAAATGTATTTTACTGTTAGGATGGTGAAGCATTGGGATAGGCTGCCCAGGGAGCTGGTGGAGTCGCCATCCCTGGAGGTGTGTCAGTGGTGCCCGGATCTGGCCCTGGGTGCCATGGTTTAGGGATTACAGTAATACTGACAATTTGACGTTTGGACTCAATGACCTGAAAGGTCTCTTCCAACCTTGATCATTCTGTGAAACATTTAAGTTTTTCTTAATATATAAGTTTAAATTAAGGAAACCTTGTTAGGGAAACTCAATAGAAATAGCTGCCTTTTTGTTTTCCTTACGTAATAAAGCCTTAGTGTGAAAACACAACTCTTCCCAAATACACCGACATTTACAAGTAGAAGCAAGAAAAGGATTGTGAATGCCTGTACTTGAACTGCTGTTCAATATCCTATCTACAACATTTTATATAGATCTTTACATTATCCTCCTATATGTAATTAAGTGCTCTGGAATTTTGAGTCCTTAAATATATGAAAATATCATTAATTTTATAATAGAGGGACTATTTACAATAGCATGTAGTGACAGGACAAGGGGGAATGGCTTCAAAGTGACAAGAGAGTAGGTTTAGATTAAATATTAGGAAAAACTTCTTCCCTGTGAGGGTGGTGAGGCACTGGCAGGGGTTACCCAGAGAAGCTGTGTCTGCTCCATCCATGGAAGAGTTCAAAGTCAGATTGGATGGAACTTGAGCAACCTGGGATAGTGGAAGGTATCCCTGCCCATGGCAAGGGCTTGGAGCTGAGTGATCTTTAAGGTCCCTCCCAACCCAAACCATTCTGTGATTCTATGAATACAGGAAGAGCATTATTTAAAAGCACAGCTGTGTGTGTAATAAAAAATAACAATGTATTATACTTTTGAAGGTGGTCGTTGGAGATCAGGATGGGGTCGTTACATGTTTTGGCATAAAAAAGGGGGAAGCTGTGGTAAGTGGAAATCTTCTTCCATTTAAAATTTTATTTTTGAAATGTAATTCCCAGTGAACTTTGAAAGTCCATTTGTTTATTGATATGGCAAATAAGATGCCTGTGGAAGGTGTCTAGGTAGAGCCTAGACTGATGCCTTACTGTGGTGGTGGCATGCTGATCTCATGCCTGGTCAGGCCACAGCTACAGAGTGAAAAACTAACGTGGATCATCACCAAATAAAGTAAATTCGACACATTTTACACTTCAGTTAAGCTGAGCTTAAACCTGGGCACATACACAGTTATTGTAATGGGACAAGAACCTGCAGAGATTCATTGAATCACCTTAGGGATTTGGACAAACTGATTGCTTTTTATGCCTAGCTCAATAAAAATTATTTTCTTTCGTGGTTTTTTTTCTCCAGGAAGTTCATGGTTAGCTCATAAGTATTCTGTAGCAATACAAATAAATCAATGTAGACTTCTGGAATAAGAATGTAATGTGAGAGGGAGGGAGTGAGTGTGTGTGTGTGTGTATGTGTGTGTGTTGTTCTTTAAAATAAAAAATAAACACAAACAAAACTGCTGACAGCAATGCTGAATTTTTCACCCTGGAAAACAGTGAAGTAATGAAGTCTTAATTTATAATGTTTTAAAGCTTTTTGTATTCATTTACTGATAAAATGCTTGGTTGCTCTGTGATTCTGAAGATAAATATGCAAATAGTCTGTGTACAGCCCATTGCATCTTAGTTTTACCAGAAATTGTAAAGAAATTTCTTATGTTAAAAGATGACCATAACTATGATATTGTGATGATGAAAATTGCTTTTCTGTTGACAGCCAGTGTTCAAGACACTGCCAGGACAAAAGATCTCCAGGCTGGAGCTGGGAGGAGCTCTTAATACACCACAAGAGAAAATTTTTGTGGCTACAGGATCCGAAGTTAGAGGTTTCACAAAAAGAGGGAAGCAGTTTCTTTCCTTTGAAACTAACCTTGCTGAAAGCATCAAAGCTATGTATGTATGATATTTTGCACTTTTTTGAGAGCTGTAGCAGATTGTTAGTCTATTTTTTTATGCAATGATTTTAAGCATATTGTGTAGGTGATGCAAGGTTCCAGTCCTGCTGCAACCTGTAGGAGGAATTTGGAATATCATGGAGAAGTATTGGAAGTGTAGGAGGAATTGGGAGGGGTCTGGAGGCACTCAGAGCAGTGCAAAATCTATGTGAGCAGAGCTGGGGTTATTGCCACAATCAAAATCTTTTTTTGATTGTGTTGCAAAATGCTGCCATAGAGAAATCAGCATAAAAAATAGAATAATGAAATTTGTATAAAGATATTCTTAGGAATTTACCTCCAAACAAAGTAGAAATGTGAGAGCTTTAGAAACCACATGGGTATAGTATTTATAAAGAACTCTAAAAGCTAGAACAGCTTGCAGGGCCCCATAATACCTTGGAGCTGTAAGGTATAAAAGACTCTGGGTGCAGCAAGAGTTTTCTTGCTACAGGAAGTGTTTTCTTTTCCTCAGGTACATTTCAGGAGCAGATCTCTTTCTCTGTGCAAGCTACATCTATAACCATTACTGTGACTGCAAGGACCAGCACTACTTCCTATCAGGAGATAAAATCAATGATGTTCTCTGCCTTCCTGTAGACAAAGTGAACTGCATCACACCGGTGCTTGCATGTCAGGACAGAATCCTCAGGGTGTTACAGGTTAAAATGCTTCCTACTTTATGGAATTACACGAATTATTAAGGGAATTTATATCAGCATGGCTTAAACATCATAAGGATCAGTGTATTGTGCCTTACTTGGCAGTGTTGCTGCTGGTGCATTCCCTTTCTGTTGTTTTTTTAAAGGAAAATCATTATCACAAAGTTGCAAAAAAATGAGGATTAATGAAACCACTATAAACAGGCTTTGGAATTCATAGGTGGAAATTGATGACAGATTGGTCCCTTCTAATTAAAAGTGCTCACATACACATTAAATTTCCTGAAGTCTTTAGCACTTTGGGAATTCTTGCTCTCATAAATTACTGTTGTGACAAGTCCTGACTGATACTAAGTGGTTTAACATATTAATTTGCCACATGAGTTCCTGGATCGTTTTTAATGATAACAGCACGTTTCAAGAACCCTGTGTTTAATTTTTACAGACCTCAACCTGTTTTTGGCTTAGAAATGCTTCTCCCATAGGAGTTTGAATAAATAAATCCTATCTTTTAGTATGATCCATAGTAATTTTGTCATTGTGGAGCTTTGGCTTGGTATGTGGCTGTTGTTTTGAGGTTCTTCTTTTTTTGTTGTTTTGGTTGTGGGTTTTTTGGGTTTTTTTAAGAAATCCATATAAGATTGTTCTCTTTGTCTTTAGGGATCTGATTTGCTGTATGAAGTAGAACTGCCTGGACCACCTACTGTTCTTGCTCTGAGCAATGGAAATGGGGGTAAAAAGATTTTGAATATACACACAATTAATAATACTATATTTTTAAGATTTTGTAGCTTGTCTTTGTTAATTATTTTGTCTTGATTTTTAAGCTGATGTTAAAAATGCAGCAGAAAAGTGACTATGTGAGGTAATTGCTTTACATATAAATAGACACAGAGATATGACTGTTTTAGACACTTCTAAATTATATTCACATTTAATTGAAGGCCTCAAAACACTCGTGAGATCTGAGGGATCTCAGAACAAACTGGACTTTTGGGGTGGTCACTTCCAGGTTTTGGGTTTGTGTTTCTCTTACACATGGAT